CCAGTCTAATTGGGACTTTAACCAGGTCATCTGACAGTGAGGTTCCAGATGTGGAATCTCGTGAAGACTTAATCAAAAATCACTACATGGCAAGGATAGTGGAACTTACGTCTCAGTTGCAGCTGGCTGACAGTAAGTCAGTGCATTTTTATGCTGAGTGCCGAGCACTCTCTAAAAGACTAGCCTTGGCTGAAAAGTCTAAGGAAGCATTGACAGAAGAAATGAAACTTGCCAGTCAGAATATCAGCAGACTTCAGGATGAACTGACAACTACCAAGAGGAGTTACGAGGATCAGTTAAGTATGATGAGTGACCACCTGTGCAGCATGAATGAGACATTATCCAAACAGAGAGAAGAGATTGATACACTAAAGATGTCCAGTAAGGGGAATTCTAAAAAGAACAAGAGTAGGTAGTTTTCAGATAGCTGGTTGGCGACTGTTCTTTGCAGAGCTGCTCCTGCTGCACAAAGCCACAAGGCTGCGACCACGTCCATGCTGGCTGCCTTCAGGAAGCTGAAGTATTGTTGGACCTAATACACTAGTCAGTGTTGGAAAGGGCCTTGAAATATTTAAAACATATTTGTAACCAGTGAGACAAATACAGAAGTTGATGTCAGCAGTAAATGGAAAACAATACATATATCATGGATATTGTAGGTTTCCTTATGCTGCTTTTACTGTGCACTTTTTAAAATTAGGTTTTAATTTCAGTATGTAAGAACAACAAATATTTTGTATACTTTCAAACAATTATATGGCAATCGATTTGGTATCTATGGAATAGATATATGTTTCTGGAAAAAAATGCATAAATTGTCAAACTGTCATTAATAAAAAAAAAAAAAAAAAAACAGAAGGCACACAGATTAGAAAGAAAGAAAGAAAACTGTTCCTATTTGTAGATGACATGATTGTCTATGTAGTATATCCCAAAAAATCTACAGGGAAAGGAACTAGAGTAAGTGAGCTTAGAAAGTTTACAGGCTGCCGGTGGGATGCCATGGCTCACCCCTGTAATCCCAGCACTTTGGGAGGCTGAGGGAGATGGATCACCTCAGGTCAGGAGTTCAAGACCAGCCTGGCCAACATGGTGAAACCCCTCTCTACTAAAAATACAAAAAATTAGCCAGGCATGGTGGTGGATGCCTATAATACCATCTCGGGAGGCTGAGGCAGGAGAATCTCTTGAACCCGGGAGGCAGAAGTTGCCGTAAGTCAAGATCACGCCACTGCACTCCAGCCTGGGCAATAAGAGTAAAACTCCATCTCAAAAAAAAAAAGAAAAAGAAAGAAAGAAAGTTTACAGGCTGCAAGGTCAACCCACAGAAACTAATTCTATTAAGAAATGGCGGCCGGGCACGGTGGCTCAAGCCTGTAATCCCAGCACTTTGGGAGGCCGAGGCGGGTGGATCACAAGGTCAAGAGATCGAGACCATCCTGGTCAACATGGTGAAACCCCGTCTCTACTAAAAATACAAAAAATTAGCTGGGCATAGTGGCACGTGCCTGTAATCCCAGCTACTCAGGAGGCTGAGGCAGGAGAATTGCTTGAACCCAGGATGCAGAGGTTGCGGTGAGCCGAGATCGCGCCATTGCACTCCAGCCTGGGTAACAAGAGTGAAACTCCGTCTCAAAAAAAAAAAAAAAAAAAAAAAGAAATGGCAATAAATATAAGAAAACTAAAACTAAAAATGTAATACCATATGCAATCACTAAAAAAAAGTGAAATATGGGCCGGGCGCGGTGGCTCACGCCTGTAATCCCAGCACTTTAGGAGGCCAAGGTGGGTGGATCACGAGGTCAAGGGATCAAGACCATCCTGGTCAACATGGTGAAGCCCCATCTCTACTAAAAATACAAAAATTAGCTGGGCATGGTGGCGCGTGCCTGTAATCCCAGCTACTCAGGAGGCTGAGGCAGGAGAATTGCCTGAACCCAGGAGGCAGAGGTTGCGGTGAGCCAAGACTGCGCCATTGCACTCCAGCCTGAGTAACAAAAGTGAAACACCATTTCAAAAAAAAAAAAAAAAAAAGTGAAATACTTGTAATTCTAACAAAACATATATGGGATTTTTATACTGAAAACCTCAAAATGCTGAAGAAAAAATTAAAGAGGATCTAAATACACAGGCAGTCTATGTTTATAACTGGAAGATTCAACATTAAATAAAGATGTCCTTAATCTCCAAATAAATATGATACACAGGTTTAAGGCAATTCCTGCAAAAGCCTTGCAAGATTTCCAAAAAGGAATTAAGAGGGTGCTGATCAATCTACCCAGTTCCCAGACTTATTATATAGCTACAATAATAATTAAGACTGTATGGTACCAAAGGAAGGTAACCACACAGAACAATGGAACAGACCACAGACCACAGACCTCAGAAATTGATATATAAAATAGAGCCCTGAAACAGACACGTCTTATAAAAAATTAATTCAAAATCAATACAGACTAACTATAAAACCTAAGACTATAAAACTTTCAGAAAATAATGTAGGAGAAAATCTTAGGAAACTTGGGCTAGGTTTGTCATGCTAAGTTTAGCATAACAGCAAAAGCACAATCAAAAGGAAAGGCCAATAAATCAGAATGTGCCAAAATTTTCAATTCTGTGAAAAGCCTTGTTAAGAAAAAGACAAGTTACAGACCACATGTAGACTGAGCATCTCTAATCTGAAAATCTGAAATGCTTCAACATGAGACAGTGATACCTTTCATTGCTTTCTGCTAGCTCAGGATACAAATGGTTTCATGCACAAAATGATTAAAAATATCGTATAGAATTACCTTCAAGATATGTAGATAAGGTGTATACAAAACATAAATAAATTTTGTGTTTAGACATAGGTTCCATCCCCAAGGTATCTCACTACCTATATAAATATTCCAAAATCCAAAAAAATCTGTTATCCAGAACACTTCTGGTCCTAGGCATTTTGGATAAGGGCTACTCAACCTGTATCTAAAAACAATTCATGGCTGGGCACAGAGGCTCATACCTGTAATCCCAGCACTTTGAGAGGCCAAGGTGGGCAGACTGCCTGAGCTCAGGTTCGCATCCAGCCAAGGCAACATGGTGAAACCCCGTCTCTACTAAAATACAAAAAATTAGCCGGGCATGGCAGCGTGCGCCTGTAGTCCCAGCTACTCAGGACACTGAGGCAGGAGAAGTGCTTGACTCCAGGTGGCGGAGGTTGCAGTGAGCCAAAATCAAGCCACTGCACCCCAGCCTGGCAACAGAATGAGACTCTGTCTCAAAAAAAAAAAAGATTCCTTTCTCAAACATGTATGTAAGAATGATCAAAGTTCAACATTAAAAAACGTACATTTAGAAAATTAGGCAAAGGACATGAAGAAACATTTCACTGAAGAAAACATAGAGATGGCAAATAAAAACATGAACGGATGGTCAATATCACTAATGATTAGGAAAATACAAAAATCAGACCACAACGAGTATCAATACACACATCAGAACAGAATTAAAAAGAGTGACAACACCAACCACCGGTAAGAACACAGAAAAACTGAATTATTCACCTACTGCTGATGGGAAAGTAAAGTCACTGGAAAGTAGTTTTTTAGTTCTGTTAAAAACTAAACATAAATTTACCATACATATGACCCAGCAATTGCACATTTGGGCATTTATCTCAGAGAGAGGTAACTTTGTAGCTACATCACAGCCTGTACACAAGTGTTCACAACAGGTTTGCTGCTAACAGCAAAAGCTGGAAGTAACCAAAATGTCCCTCAATACAAAATGTGGTACATCCATCCCACGGAATACCACTCGGCAATAAAAAGGACTATTGACAAAGAGACAGATTTCCAGGGCAAATGCTGAGTGAAAAGCGTTAAACTCACAAGACCACACACCATATGATTTCATTTATATGACACTGTTGAAATGATAGAGCTATGGAGCTGGAGAAGTGATTGACAGGGATGGGCGTGACTATAAAAGGGTGTCACAGCAGGAAGATTTTGTGAAGAATTCTTATCTTGATTGAGGTGGCAGCTATAGAATCTACACAAGTGAGAAAAATGACACTGGATTAGTTTTAAACACCATACCAATTCCAAATTCCTGGGTTTAATTTGATCTAATATTAACAACTGGGGAAATCAGGTAAAAAGCACATGAGACTCTCAATGCTATCTTTGTAACTTCTTGGGAATCTATAATTATTTCAAAATTCAATTTTAAAAAAAAAAGCAGCATGTTCCACACAACAGACTTACATACACACCACTAGCTCAGTCAGCACCCTAACAAGGGACTCCCAAGATATTTGACATGATTTTTTTTAAGGGTTATTTTCCCCAAAATGTAGCATTTTCTTCTGACTATAAGGAGAATTCAAGCAATTCATTCCATATAAACTACAGATCATCAAAATATCATTACCCAAAGCAAGTATCAGTATGATGCATTTTAGGTCTATCTTAAAAACAGGCTGTGTTATACATGAATACAGCACATTACAATGTGCTGAACTATATAAAAATTGTTGATTTATTTCATGAAAACAAAAGTTGGTAAGAAATCATCTGTTTAAAGAAGAAATGGCTTAGGCCAGGCACGGTGGCTCATGCCTGTAATCCCAGCACTTTGGGAGGCTGAGGCAGCTGGATCACGAGGTCAGGAGATCAAGACCATCCTGACTAACACAATGAAACCCCATCTCCATTAAAAATACAAAAATTAGCCAGGTGTGGTGGCACCCGCCTGTAGCCCCAGCTACTTGAGAGACTGAGGCAGTAGAACCACTTGATTGAACCCAGGGAGGCAGAGGCTGCAGTGAGCTGTGAGCTGAGATCATGCCACAGCACTCCAGCCTGGACGACACAGTGAGACTCTACCTCAAAAAAAAAAAAAAGGAAGAAATGGTTTAGAGTACATTTCTAATTTCGTTTAAAGAAACAAAACAAAGCAGGACAGCAGCAGAGACCCCAAGCTTCCCTCACATGGAGGCTCAGGTTTCTCCCTACCTCAGGGGCCGGTGCAGCATAAGCCGTGTATGGCGGAGGAGAGGAAACCACGGACGTCTCATCTGTCATGACTGCAGAGCCCACATACGCCTGTGGAGAGAGGACAGGGTGAGGGCAGGATAGCTTCCCAGCAGCTGTGTGCTCCATGATGCTGTGCATGTGCCCCTTTTATTTAGCAGATTAAAAACTTTAAAGGACAAAAAGTTATACAGCTCTCTGCAAAGTAGGAAAAACTCCCCCAGTCCAGTGGGGGGCCCTAGTCCTAGTCTGGTGTCCTCTAAATGCAGGAGCAAAGTGGCCCTCATTCAGCCCCTAGCAGGATTAGCACTCTCACAGCTAGGAAGGCACACAGAGGCCCCACTGTTACCCAATACCTTTTAAAAGATATTACACCAGGCCAGGAGCAATGGCTCATACCTGTAATCCCAACACTTTGGGAGGCTGGGTGAGAGGATCGCTAGAGCCCAGGAGTTCAAGGCCAGCCTAGGTAACAGAGGGAGAGCCCATCTCTACAAAAAAACAATTAGCTGGGCATGGTGCTTATGGCCCCAGCTACTCAGGAGACTAAATCTGAAGGATCACTTGAGACCGGGAGGTCGAGACTACAGTCAGCCAAAATTGGGCCACTGTACTCCAGCCTGGGCAACAGAGCAAGACCCTGTCTCCAAGGAAAAAAAAAAAAAAAAAAAAAAGATATTACAGCACTCTCAACATCCTTTATTCACAAATAAAAACCCTAACAATCTAAAATGTATCAGAGATATGTCCTATACACAGTCTGTTTTTACCTTAAAAAACAAAATTCTTCATTAAATTACTCCTCAATGTAATTTAAAGAAAAACATGTTAGTTCTTTTTAAAAAAAAAAAAATCTGGGCAGGTGATGTGGCTCACACCTGTAATCCCAGCACTTTGGAAGGCTGAGGCAGACAGATCATGAGGTCAAGAGTTCAAGACCGGCCTGACCAACATGGTGCAACCCCATCTCCACTAAAAATACAAAAATTAGCCAGTCGTGTTGGTAGGCACCTGTAATCCCAGCTACTCCAGAGGCTGAGGCAGGAGAATCGCTTGAACCCAGGAGGCAGAGGTTGCAGTGAGCTGAGATCGCGCCACTGCACTCCAGCCTGGGTGAGAGAGAGACAGACTGTCTCAAAAAAAAAAAAAAAATCCATACAAAGAATCAGTTGGGGATCTTGCCCTTAACTGTATGGATCATTAATACTAATTTTACCCACAAAAAGCATTTTCATGAAAAAAAGGTAACTGCACCTATAGAGTAAGCTTAGAATGAAGTTATTAAGCCTTTTACCTTCTTCTCCCACATGCACACATTCTTGTGTAAGCTTGATCCACCTTCTTTTCTTAGAGATAAAAGAGGGAAAAAGCCCATCTAAAGAATGAAAGCTCTGACCAGAGTAACACTCCCTGATCCCTGACAGATAAAGATGGCATTACAAGCTCTACAAATGGGGTTCACTGTCTCAGTGACCTCCTAAGGCCAGAAACAGGATAAGAGACAAGTACAAGTCACAAAAAGGTTTGTTTCATCAAGGCTGAGCTCCTGTGCATAAAAAGGATCCTGCAATTCTTTCTGAGCCTTTACTGCAAACCACAGCAGAATTCAAAGTGTTACATAACTTTGAGAAATACAAACATTTCTAGAAAGCAACACTGGAACAAGCATGCCTGTGTGAGGAGGGTGCCTCCTGCCAAAATATTTGGCAAACCCAGCTTGCTCACTGTTGGTTAAAGGCGCCCTGCCCAGTGCTACCTGCCCAGTCATGGCTGGATGGCCAGGAAACCCATTTTCCCCCTTCTCCAATTGTTACGTAAGACCATGTGAAAACATTACTGGTGGCTGGGTGTGGTGGCTCACACCTGTAATCCCAGCACCTTGAGAGGTGGAAGTGGGAGGATCACTTGAGCCCAGGAGTTCAATACCAACCTGGGTAATATAGTGAGACCTTCTCTCTACAAAAAAAAAAAAAAAAAAAAAATTCAATAAGCTCGGCATGGTAGCATGGACCTGTAGTCCCAGCTACTGGGAAGCAGGGAAGGGGAGGCTGAGGCAGGAGGACCACTTGAGCCCAAGAGGTAGAGGTTGCAGTGAGCAGCACCACTGCACTCCAGCCTGGGTAAAAGAGTGAGACCTTGTCAAAAAAAAAAAAAATTATTGATGATTGTATTAGCCACTTACTGTGTTTGTCCTAGAATCTTGGAGTGTAAATTTCCAGGCCCTGGAGAAAAGAAAAAGAATACTTAATATTTAAGGCAATCCAACATTTCAATGATTCTCAAAACCTGGGTGGGCATCAGAATTCCTGAAGAGATCTGCTTAAAGAACAGGTCTTCAGGTCTTGCCTCAAACCACTTGAGACATGCACTAGGAATACATATTTTTAAAAACTACATCTACAATAGATACATAATATTTAAAACATCTATACAATACTTTTTACTTTTTAATAAATGCGAAATGTACTCCCACTTGCTTTGTCAGTTCATGGCATACACACAGATCTACTTCCTTTTTAACAGCTTTGTAATATTCCATGATATGAGTAAATTTAGATTGTTGGCAATTTTTCGACATTAAGAGAATTAAAGAATGGTGGGAACCAGATGCAGTGCCTCATGCCTATAATCCAAGCACTTTGTAAGGCCAAGGCAGGGGGATCACCTGAGCCCAGGAGTTCAAGACCAGCCTGGGCAACATAGAGAAATCCCAGCTCTACAAAAAACACAAACATTAGCCAGGCATGGTGGTGCATGCCTATAGACCCAGCTACTTGGGAGGCTGAGGTGGGAGAATAGCTTCCTCCTGGGAGGTCAAGGCTATAGTGAGCCAAGATCCTAACCAGTGCATTCCAGCCTGGATGAAAGAGAAAAACCCTGTCTCAAGAAAAATAGAAAAAAGAATGCTATTAACATATTAACATCCCTATTACCCTTGCACTCTTATGTTAACATTTCCATAGTTAACATTTCCATAGGGCAAATTCCAAAGACTGCAACTGCTAGGTCAAAGGATATAAACAGAATTTCAGCAGGTATTGCAAAATGGCCCTGCAAAATGACTCTAACAGTGTCTGTAACCTGGTAGCTTTCCTCCATATTGTTAAAAAAAAACTAGGCATCTGAAACTTAAGTATCACAATTAAGTTTTTGCTTTAAATGATAGGCAAAAACAGTCTCTCATCCAGTCATCATGGCTCATGCCTGTAATCCCAGCACTTTGGGAAGCCGAGGTAGGCAATCGCCTGAGGTCAGGAGTTTGAGACCAGCCTGGTCAACAAGGTGAAACCCTGCTTCTACTGAAAATACAAAATCAGCCAGGCATGGTGGTGCATGCCTGTAATCTCAGCTACTCCAGAGGCTGCGGCAAGAGAACTGCTTGAAGCCGGGAGGGAGACAGAGGTTTCAATGAGCGGAGATCACACCACTGCACTCCAGCCTGGGCTACAAGAGACTCCATCTAAAAAAAAAAAAGCAGTCTCTTGTGTACCCACTCATTCCTTTACTCCTTTTCTTACTAACCCCAGCCCTATTACCTTCATCAATTTCTTTCATTTTTATTCTCATTTTACTATCTCCCTAAGTTGAAAGATTCATTCAGTTATTTTCAAGTGTTCTGGCTTTCTAAGGAATGCAGTTAAGTTACAAAATTCCCCAACAGATTTTGTATGTGGCGTACCACTGTCATTCACTTTGCTAAGGGGTATCACATTGGATTATTCATATATATTACATAAATTTTGTTGTCATTTCGTCTACAAATTCAGTTCTGTTATTGCAGAACATTTTTCTTGCCCTGAATTTCTAATTACCTCTTTTGGGGTTCTATACTTTCTGCACATCAATAATCTTTCTGAACTTTTTTTAGTGTTTCTAACATATCTCTGATCTTTTCTCCAAATCTTTTCATCTTTTTCCCCTCACTGAGATTATCTCCAGTCTCTTCCTCCATGCCAGTGATTCACTTTTCATTTGGAGTTGTATGCAAGGGAAGACCACTTTCATCAGATTACTATGTGAATGGCACCCTCTTGACAGTGACAGATCTTCTAGATTATAGACACAAAAGGGCAGAAAAGAAACATAAATCTCTGCCCTTGCATAGCATATATTCTAATGAAAGCAGATGATGAACAAGATAAATAGTTGGTACACAGTGAGTGTGTATGCAGACAGGGAGATACAATTTTAAATACGGTGGTCAGGAAAGCATTCCTGAAGACTCTGCTTCTGTTCCTTGGATTTTATTTTTCTCCACTCTAGGAGCTTTTCCTGAGGCTTGCATGTTTCTTTTCTTATTTTTCCTTCAAGGTATATCTGCATAGCTGCCAAGCCACTTCTTTACAGCCTGCTCACTTTTTACATGGGAAGTGGTATCTAAAACTTCCGTTTGCACTGGTAAGTTATTTCTCCTTGACACTCTCCCTACCTAATCTGGTATCAACCGGTAGCTCCACCCTGTTCCACCTCTGTCCAGCCCAGCAACAGTTTGATAGCTAGGTGTACCCTCAATCAATATTCTATAATCTGAGGGCACAGGGCTGGAAGAGAAGGAAATTTCTTCTGACATCGAATAAGTCTTTTCTGAAAAATCTGAGTCCTACACTCTCTTCTGAGCACATTCCTTTGAATGTCCCATGCAAAGGTTCACTTCACAGCCACAAAATTATCCAATTCCTGTGAGCTTCAGTGCCTTTCACTGCCCTGCAATGATGGGCCCTGGGAGAACCACCCAGCCTCTGCTGAGGTCCCAAGAACATCACATTCTTAAGGATTTTTCCTTAGCTTTTCCAAAAAGTATCTTACTCTTAATCAGCATCACTCCAGACTACCGGGTAATACTAAACATTTGCAATATTTAATTAACCCATCTTGTTAATTCTGGGATTCGGGTAGGATTAAAGAACATCTCAATAGCCGGGCGCGGTGACTCAAGCCTGTAATCCCAGCACTTTGTGAGGCCGAGGCGGGCGGATCACAAGGTCAAGAGATCGAGACCATCCTGGTCAACATGGTGAAACCCCGTCTCTACTAAAAATACGAAACATTAGCTGGGCATGGTGGCGCATGCCTGTAATCCCAGCTACTCAGGAGGTTGAGGCAGGAGAATTGCCTGAACCCAGGGGGCGGAGGTTGCGGTGAGCCAAGATGGCGCCATTGCACTCCAGCCTGGGTAACAAGAGCGAAACTCCCTCTCACAAAAAAAATAAATAAATAAAATAAAGAACATCTCAATAGAATCATCGATTTCTTTCTTTGGCTGTCTGTAGTTTGTGCTTGAAATCAAACTTCTTTATTTGGTTGCGCCATTGAAATGTTTTCCTCTCAGGGAAGATGATCTAATCCATTTCACCATTGTTCTCAAAGGTCTCTATTATGGGGTTGAATTATGTCCTCATGAAAAAGATATGCATAAATCCTGATCCCCAGTACCCACAAATGCTGGAATGTTATTTGGAAATAGGGTATTTGCATATGGAATCAAATTAAGATAAACAACTCATAGTGGATTAAGATGGGTCCTTAATCCAGTACGACTGGTGTTCTTTGTAAGAAAAGAGAATTCTGGACACAGACCCAACAGAAGAAGGCCATGTGACAACAGAGGCAGAGACGGGAGTAACGTGGCTGCCAGCCAAGGACACCAAAAACTACTGCAGAAGCTAGGAAGAGGCAAGAAGGGACCCCATCCAGCATCGCAGAGGGAGCAGGGATCTGTTGACACACAGATACCAGACTTCCAGCCTCCAGAAATATGAGACAAGGAATTTCGGCCATTTTTGTCACTTAAGTGTTCAGCAATTTGTGACAGCAGCCCTAGGAACTCAGTTTCCTCTTTCCTTTTTTGCTTTTCTGACCATTTTATTTCAAGTGCGTTTCTTCTTAACAGAATATATTGCTGGACTTTGTATTTTCTGCTCAATCTCAGATCTTTTTTTTTTTTGAGATGGAGTCTCACTCTGTCACCAGACTGGAGTGCAGTGGCACCATCTCAGCTCACTGCAACCTCTGCCTCCTGGGTTCAAGAAATTTTCCTGTTTCAGCCTCCTGAGGAGCTGGGACTACAGACGCATGCCACCACGCCTAATTTTTTTTTTTTTTTTTTTTTTTTTTTTTGAGACGGAGTTTCACTCGTTACCCAGGCTGGAGTGCAATGGCCCGATCTTGCTCACCGCAACCTCCGCCTCCTGGGTTCAGGCAATTCTCCTGCCTCAACCTCCTGAGTAGCTGGGATTACAGGCATGTGCCACCATGCCCAGCTAATGTTTCGTATTTTTAGTAGAGACGGGGTTTCACCATGTTGACCAGGATGGTCTCGATTTCTTGACCTTGTGATCCACTCGTCTAGGCCTCCCAAAGTGCTGGGATTACAGGCCTAAGCCACCACGTCCGGCCACCTGAGTAATTTTTTACATTTTTAGTAGACACAAGGTTTCACTGTGTCAGCCAGGTCTTGATCTCCTGACCTCATGATCTGCCCACCTCAGCCTCCCAAAGTGCTGGGACTACAGGTGTGAGCCATGGCGCCCAGCCCTCAGATCTTACCCTTTTTAGGTAAATTTCACCAAATCACATTTACTAAAATCACAGAAACTATCAGTCTAATTATTGCCAGGACGTTTACTGTTGTGCTTTATTAAGTTTTCTTTTAACGAGGAATATTTTCTGTTCTTTTTATTCTTCTAGTTTAAAAATATTATCCTCCACTTCTATCCGCCCAAATTTGTACCCTTAAAATATGACACATGTATAAAGCTCTCTTTTACATCTAGGTTAAGAATCAACTCACTCATTCTTTCAGGCTAAACAAGACCAGCTCTTCAAGTATATATTTTTGCCTCTTCTCTCACGTGCTTTGCTTTTGTTTTTTTTTTGAGACAGGATCTCACTCAGTTACCCAGGTTGAAGTGCGGTGGCGTGATCTCAGCTCACTGCAACCTCTGCCTCCCAGACTCAAGCAATACTCCCACCTCAGCCACCTAAGTAGCTGTGACTACAGGCACATCCCACCACACCCAGCTAATTTTTGTATTTTTAGTAGGGACAGGGTTTCACCACGTTGGAAAGGCTGGTCTCAAATTCCTGACCTCAGGTGATCCACACACCTCAGCCTCCCAAAGTGTTGAGATTATAGGTTTGAGTCACTGCACCCAGGATTCTCCCATGTTTTGTTGGATTACTCTAAAATTCTAGTTCCAGATGTTTTTCCAGTGTTTCTTTAAAAAATATTTTGTACATGTGATACTGCCCCCCAGCAGAGCAGAGCAGTTAAGGACAAAGGGCTGTAGAAACAAGGGTTCAGATCGAGTCTAGCCTACCAGCTCTAAAGCCTGTAGGAAGCACAGCAGGCAGAATGACAGCTCCAAAGATGTCCACAACCTAATCTCCATAGCTTATGAATATGCTGCCTTACAAGGTAAAAGGGATTCTGGGACCAGGTACAGTGGCTCACACCTGTAAGCCCACCACTTTGGGAGGCCAAGGTGGGTGGATCACTCAAGACCAGGGTTTGAGACCAGTGTGGGCAACATGGCAAAACCCCATTTCTACAAAAATTAGCTTGGTGTGATGACAAGCACCTGTAGTCCCAGCTACTTGGAAGACTGAGGCAGGAGAATTGCTTGAGCCCAGAAGGCAGAGGCTGCAGTGAGATAGCACTATTACACTCCAGCCTGGATGACAGGAGGGAAACCCTGTCTCAAAAAAAAGGTCGGGGCGAGGGGGGAAGCGGGGAAGCGGGGAAGCGGGATTCTGCAGCAAGAATTAAGACTAAGGACCTTAAGATGATGAGATTAACTTGGAATATCCAGTCGGGCCAAACTAATCTTGAATCCTTAAAACCGTGTAACCTTCCTGGCTGCAGAGAACCAAAGATGGCAGCAGGAGAGGACTCCACCTACTACTACTGGCTTTGAGGATGGAGGACGGGGCTGCAATCCCAGGAATGCAGAGGCTTCTAGAAGGTGGAAAAAGGAAACAGATTCTCCCCTACAGCTTACAGTGGGAATATGGCCCTGCAGAAACTTTGTGACAACTGAGACTACTGTTGGACTCCTGACTTCCAGTTTGTATTGTGTGAAGCCACTAAGCTTGCGGCAATTTATTACAACAACATTAAAAAAACATATGGAAGTTACTTAACTTCTCTGTCTCCACTTCTTATAATAGGAGTGACAGCACCCACCTTGTAAAATAAGACAAGATGAGGATTACAATCATCTGTGAAGCTGTTAACTCAGTGTCTAGAGCAAAGGAAGTGTTCAATACATGTTGGTTTAATAACAGAGCTCCAATTTTCAAAAGTAGCAAATTAGCTTGACACATGGTCATTTCTCCATTGGACTTTATTTATTTATTTTTTTTTTTTGAGACGGAGTTTCGCTCGTTACCCAGGCTGGAGTGCAATGGCACAATCTCGGCTCAACGCAACCTCCGCCTCCTGGGTTCAGGCAATTCTCCTGCCTCAGCCTCCTGAGTAGCTGGGATTACAGGCACGAGCCACCATGCCCAGCTAATCTTTTGTATTTTTAGTAGAGATGGGGTTTCACCATGTGGACCAGGATGGTCTCGATCTCTCGACCTCGTGATCCACCCGCCTCGGCCTCCCAAAGTGCTGGGATTACAGGCTTGAGCCACCGCGCCCGGCCCCTCCATTGGACTTTAAGAAAGCCCCATCTCTTCCAGAATATGCCATATTTGTATCACAGTCACTAATATAAATCAGAAGAATGTAAAAAGGCAGCTACTTCTGGCACTTAAAACAGACCCTAGAGTTTGGCATAGAATGACGTTTATACAGAGGCTGAGCACAGATACGTGTGGTAGGCCCTGACAAAATGGCCTCCAGATCTGTGAAGACATTGCATATCTACAAATATTTCAGTAATCTCTATTAGTGAATTCTCACAACATCCAGAGTTCACCCACTTAAGTGGTAATGTAGACAAAATAAAAATTCCAATTCTCCCCAAATTTCATTCAGTCAGTGTTTTCAAGATTCTGATCCAGCCGGGCGCGGTGGCTCAAGACTGTAATCCCAGCACTTTGGGAGGCCGAGGCAGGTGGATCACGAGGTCAAGAGATCAAGACCATCCTGATCAACATGGTGAAACCCCGTCTCTACTAAAATACAAAAGATTAGCTGGGCATGGTGGCACGTGCCTGTAATCCCAGCTACTCAGGAGGCTGAGGCAGGAGAATTGCCTGAACTCAGGAGGCGGAGGTTGCGGTGAGCCGAGATCGCGCCATTGCACTCCAGCCCTGGGTAACAAGAGCGAAACTCCATCTCAAAAAAAAAAAAGAAAAAAAGATTCTGATCCAACATCAATGCCAATGTTAGGAGGCCAAGGAGTATTACAACCGGGATTTCCCCAACCCTTCTTCAGAGATGGCAGAGAAATGACCACCAAAGAAGGAAAAGCTGCACAGTACAGATGTGAATGCTTTCCAAAAAGACATTAACATAAAAAGAACCAAGCTTAACAAACCATTCAACTATGTCTGTTACCCACTGTGAATCTAATAATGAAAGACAGCATGACGAGTACTACAATTCCTTTCTGCCATTTTCACCACAATGGGATCAGGCAGTCCCAGAGAGGCAGACACTAGAACTGAAAAAGCAAGTCTTGTATTTCTCTCACACATCCACGGAGTCCCTCATTCTGAGGCCTCAAGGAAAACTCTACTCCCATTCATTTTTTGGCAATCAGACATAAAATAGAAAATATTTTTTAAATTAAACGCCTAAGAAAGCAAAACTTACAAGCAATCGTCTGTGCTTTCAGCACAAAGACTAACTGTTTTCCCATCTCGGCAAACAATTTGCAGCATGCAGTCTTTTGACTTTCCATCTGGAGGTTGAATATCTATGAAAAATAAGGCAGAATAAAGGAATTTTTTTCAGGATTTCTTCTTACACTTTCTAAGAACTACTAGCTCAGAGAAGCAAAGGACTAGACAATAAATCAAGTGTTACATCTGTGAAAGAATCCTCTGCCTTTCCAAGAAGGCAGAAAGAACATCGCTAGGCTGACTGACAGGACCAGCTGCAAAGATGTCTACAAAATGTATTCCTTATAATGGATATAAAGAATACCTTCAGGAAACGACATCTCAGATTTTTTTTTTTCTTTTTTTTGAGACAGAGTCTTACTCTGTTACCCAGGCTGAAGTACAGTGGCACAATCTCAGCTCACTGCAACCTCCACCTTCCGGGTTCAAGCAATTCTCTGCCTTAGCCTCCCGAGTAGCTGGGATTACAGGTAACTGCCACCATGCCCAGATAATTTTTTTTTTTTTTTTTTTTTTTTAGTAGAGGTGGGTTTCGCCATCTTAGCCAGGCTGGTCTTGAACTCCTGACCTTGTGATCCACTGTGCCTGGCCGACATCTCAGATTTTAAGCAACTGAATGGAGTCAGCATCAAACAGAAGCCAGTTATTGAGTACAAAATCAACACAGTCTACGGTGGTCTGTGCTTCTTGAGGTTCCCAGCACACTGGTTCCCTCACCTCAAGTAGAAGAGACATGGAATGGTGAGTTTAACTCAGTTGAGAAAATTAATTTGCCCCTACCACGTGGTTCAAGATCTAAGTGCCTGGGGCTCCACTGTGGTCGCCCCTCTAAGAAGAAACCCTTCTTCAATCTGTTAATGAAAGCAGAACAGGGAAGGAAGAGGACCCAGCTCCTACTAAGACAGAGGAAGAGCCGAAGACAGAAGTTGGCCAAGACAGGCCAGCTTACCTCGACATTCCTGCCCCATGCGGATGTTGATGCAGTCCACTGGCATGTGGACCTTATCCTCGACATTCTGCCGAGTCTGGTCATCATAATAGATTAGGTGACCATCTGACCACAGATCAAACCAATTCTTCTTCCAGCGCTTCAAAATAGTACCTGGAAAAACAATAGTAAGGTTAGTAAGTCTTACTATTTTGCCCAAGTTGGAATGCAGCAGCTATTCTTGAATGTGATCATAGCTCAATGCGGCCTTGAACTCCTGGGCTCAAGCAATTCTCTCACCTCAGGATCCCTTTTTTAGCTGGGACTACAGACACATGCCACCATGCTCAGCTGAAAAGTTGGCTTTGAGCCAAAAGACCAAGGACATAGTCCTCTAATTCACAGTAGAAACAAAAGGAACTCTCCCCTGGCCCCTTAATTACACCTGTGTAGAATTACCCAAAGCAATGCATCAGGATGAAAGGGAAAGCAGAGCACAGCAGCCACCCACAAGTGCTTTCACAGGCTGCATGAAGCACACACTGTCAACAGAGACAGCTGCCAACCAACTTAGAAGTCCCAATACTTTCAATTTAGGTTTGTTCTTTTTTTTAAAAAAAAAAAAAAGCTGCTTTTCAGCAAATGAAACGTATCTAACACTTAATTCTTCATACAGTACTAAAGTTTGAACCTCTCAAACTTTTAAACTTTGTAAATTTCCAATACTGTCTAAATTTGCTAGATTGATGAGAAAATGCTGGACTGTAAAGTCTCTACATGCAAATAAAAATAATACTTTCCTCTTCTGAAAAAACATGTTTCGGCGAGGCACAGTGGCTCACGTGAGTAATCTCAGCACTCTGGGAGGCCAAGGTGGGTGGATCACTTGAGGCCAGGAGTTCAAGACCAGCCTAGGCAAAATGGTGAAATCCCATTTCTACTAAAAATACAAAAAATTAGCTGGGCATGGTGGCTTGTGCCTGTAATCCCAGCTACTAGGGGAGGCTGAGGCAGGACAATCGCTTGAACCCAGGAGGGGCAGGCTGCAATGAGCCAAGATCGTACCATTGTACTCCAACCTGGAAGACAGAGCAAGACTCTGTCTCAAAAAAACAAAAGAAAAATCACATTTTTTTTCCCTTGTACGTAAGAGCTTTCACAGATACTGTTTCCTACCATTTCCCAGAGGAAGCCCACAGTATGGAAGGTGCCCCTTTCCTGATGCATACACTGGAGAAATGAGCACAGTAGGATGTAGACCAGGCCCTGCCTGGCCTCCCATGCCAACTCTCATACTGTACACATCCTACTACCTCACACATTTCTGTCAACTTGAGCGAATTCATCCTTTCATTTGTGATCCTGGATAAGGTACTTAACTTTATAAAATTGTAATTTCCTTGACTGCATGAAGGGAAAACCCCAGTAATGGACTTAAAGGCCAGTTGTAGCTCCAAGTCATCTCTGTACCTTCCTCACATCCATTCACTGCCCACTACACCTTCTGTTCCTATACACCTCACCCCGTTCCTGGCCAACACGCACAATCCCATTTCACGCACTTCCCTTTATGCTGCCGTGCCTGCAACTGGTGTCAACCAGATACGTGCCATCCAGCTTTCCTGCCACTATCAGGCACTCTCCTTACCAGAAGGGGTGTCCACTGCACTTGCCCAAGTGACCACTAAGTGATACCCAAGCATCCATTTGATTGACCACCTGAGCTGTGCAGAAACCACCAAATAGGCTGGGTGCAATGGCTCATACCTGTAATCCCAACATTTTGGGAGACTGAGGTGGGTGGATCACTTAAGCCCAGGAGTTTGAAACCAGCCTGGGCTACATAGCAAAAGCCTATCTCTCCAAAAAAAGAATAGCCAGGTACGGTAACACAGGCCTGTATGCCCAGCTCCTCGGGAGTCTGAGGCAGGAGGACCACTTGAACCTGGAACATCAAGGCTGCAGTGAGTAGTTTTCATGCCACTGCACTCCAGCCTGGATGACAAAGCAAGATTTCATCTTAAAAAAAAAAAAAGTCAGCCAGGCACGGTGGCTCACACCTGTAATCCCAGCACTTTGAGACGCCAAGGCGGGCAGATCATGAGGTTAGGAATTCGAGACCAGCCTGGCCAATAGTGAAAACTTGTCTCTACCAAAAATACAAAAAATTAGCTGGGCGTGGTGGCGCATGCCTGTAATCCCTGCTACTTGGGAGACTGAGGCAGGAGAATCACTTGAACCCAGGAGGCGGAGGTTTCAGTGACCCAAGATTGCACCATTGCACTCCAGCCTGTGTGACAGGGCGAGACTCCATTTCAAAAAAAAAAAGCCCTACTAAATAGAACCACAGAAACAGACAGGTGGAACCACTGGGTCAAGGAGTTCTGCCCAAGTGTCTCAACCTGCCATCAAAGCCCTGGCTGCAGACTCCCAAATCAGGCTGTCCTCCAGGGGCCAGGACTGTTCCAACAGTATACGTGGCAACTGGCAGGAAAAAGTCCCGAGGACAGCTTTGCCCACATCACATGTGTATCACCACTGCTCTACAACCCCATGAATGTAATACACCTCACCTTGTTTTAATGGCATTGATACTTCTACTTTCAGGAAAAGAAGGAAAATTAACCCACATATATAGGTATGGGGTTATAGAGTAAGTCTTCTGAATAAATACTTCTCAAACACCCATGGACAAGGACACTGGAAAAGTCTATGCGACTTAAAGTGTATCTATTTTATGTACATCACCATGCTAGACACTGACGGGGAGCACAAAATTACCAAAAGGGTCATTGTTCACTATGTTGACAGAGCATTTACATCAAGTTGTAGTGGAACAGGGAAAGCTTGCCCTCAAACAAAGGTGTGGTAGAACATGGGGAGTAAAACCAAAGGCCATCCGAAGGGCCAGTAAAGGAGGGCTCCAATATGCCCTCCTTTACTGGCCCTTATGAAGCTAATATTACACCTCTGTCTATTCTAGGACTATAGCACCATCACAGACAAGGGACACATGGTTCAGCTCCAGGCTAGGAACACAGAACTAGTCACAGACACACAGGCTGAAGGCCCGTCTCCTGGTGCATATAGTGTCAGTGCTGAAATCAGACAGTCCTGCGTCTGAATGTACATTTGTCACCATAGTTTACAGTTAGACAAGTTACCTAACCTCACTGAATCTCAATTTCTTCAACTGGAAATACTACTACTTATCTCATGGTCTCTGAACAATAAATGGTACGTGACACAGCTCAGTTTTTGACTAGAATCATAAACGACATAGTAGTCACTTTACCCTTAACTTCATTCTTTCTAGTATAGCAGAATAATCTGCTTGCTCTTTTCTTTTTAATAAATAAGACTGGTTCTTCCTACTTTAAAACACAGTATGAATCTCACCTGGAGTGACAGCCTCGGAGATAAGCAGACTGTGTATGAAAGATAGGTTTGAAAAGATAAGCCTAGAAAAGTGACTCGAACCCATTAAAAGTAAAAATAAAAATAAAAATAAAACCTGAGTCTCTTCTCGAGTCCTTGTGGAGATACAGAAGTTTTGGTTTTAGATAAACTCATTGCCTCAGATCAAGTCTTCAGCCACATAATTACAAAGACTCCAACATTTGAGAATCTGAGTCACTGCTCAATCCCCAGATAACAGAGACAAGAGAGACCAGCACCTCTGTGCAAGTATCTCAGCTGGGCTCAGTTAGATCCAGGCAGTCCCAGATTCATCAATAATAATAAAGCACACAGCCGTGTGCAGTGGCTCACACCTCTAATCCCAGCATTTTGAGAGGCCAAGGAGGGCAGATCATCTGAGACTGGGAGTTCAAGACCAGTCTGTCCGACATGGAGAAACCCCATCTCTACTAAGAATACAAAATTAGCCGGGTGTGGTGGTACATGCCTGTAATCTCAGCTACTCGGGAGGCTGAGGCAGGAGAATCGCTTGAACCTAGGAGGCAAAGGCTGCATTGAGCTGAGATCGCACCACTGCACTCCAGCCTGGGCAACAAGAGCAAAACTCCATCTCAAAATAAATAAATAAATAAATAAATAAATAAAACAAAAATAAATAAAGCACACTAGTGAGGAGAGCAAAAGCAGCAGGGACTGCCATTGTTTCCTGGTTCCTGACAATTCAGCAATCAAGGAGGAGCTCCATGGTGTGCAAAGTCAGTTCACAGAGATCTAAGAATATCCAAGGAGAAACTCAAGACCACAGCACTAGTAAAACTTTGTTTTTAAACATGATCAGCTTTAAGCAAACAGAAATAGAGATTGCCCTTTGGCAACGCCAATCACAGGCCAAACATCCTGTACTCACTCTGTCGCAGCAACCAGCCACTCTTCACAAACGCCATCTCTTCACCTACAGAACAAGAACAGGCAGGTTCAAAATCATACACAGAATGAGAATAGCCTGTCCAGCCCAAGTCTCTATCCTCATCCCCTTTAGCATCAGCTGAGGAAGGGCCCAAGGCCATTTTAGCTCAGTGCCCCCCTGGCATTTAACGAATACCTCCTCAGTGGGGTTCATGCACTCCACACCCTGTACCATGTCCCTTCCTCCCACACTAGCCTTCAGCCTCACCACCCAGCCCACCTGACTGAGTTAACACCACTCAACAAACATAAAGCAGCCCCAAGGACACAAGATTTAGCCCTCTCAAGGACATGGAGGATTCTCGTGGCTTGCTGGAGCCCCAAGATGCCTACATTTGGCATTCCCAGTGGGGTCCACATGGCCCAGGCAGGGGTACTGCACTGGTGTCAGCAGTGAGTGATATGAAGTGGCCAAGTTAGGGCTAAAAAGCAGAAGTCATCAAGAAAACGGTTCATGAAGTCAACTCTGTAAAAATTTAAATTTTCTGTATGGAAAAAAAGTCTAATGTGACTTTAAAAGTAACAAATTAGAAGAAACATTCATGGCTGGGCATGGTGGCTCACGCCTGTAAACCCAACACTTTGGAAGGCCAAGGCAGGTGGCTCACCTGAGGTCAGGTGTTCAAGACCAGCCTGGCCAACATGGTGAAACCTAGTCTCTACTAAAAACACAAAAATTAGCCAGGTGTGGTGGCAAGCTACTCCAAAGGCTGAGGCAGGAGAACTGCTTGAACCCAGGCGGCAGAGATTGCAGTGAGCCAAGACTGCGGCACTGTACTCCAGCCTGGGCAACAGACTGAGACTCCATCTCAAAAAATAAATAAAGAAGAAGAAACACTCACAACCATATTGCAAGAAGGAGCTTATTTCCTTCACTTACAAAGTTTACACATATCACACAGAAAAGGCAATCACTTAGCGGTTCACAGAAAAAGGAATATAAAGAACCAACAAACTCATAAAAAGACACTGAATTTCCCACTCAATTCAACAGATACAATTCCAACTATACAGTTACCTACTGTACCCATCAGGTGGGCACAAATGAAAACCTCCAAGACACTCAGCAAGGAAAAGGTGCAATGGAGGAAAAAAAAAACTGCCGCAATCTTCCAGAGGGAAATTTGACAAAACCTATTGAAACTTTAATAGTTCATATACCTGCACCCAGCAGTCTCACCATGACTAGGAATTTGCCTCACTGAGCTATGTGCAGAGGTTCACTAACACACACATATATATATAAAAGCACTTGCTGCAACATCACATATACTGCAACAGCACCCCATCACCAACATGCCCCATGATGAAGGACTGCGGAGTGGCACCTCCACACAGGACAGATCGCCAGGCAGGCAAGGGGGAGCAGCACGTGCTCAGGCTTCCTCCTGGGAGGAATCCTAAAACCTATGAAGGATGTGTTTCTGGAAACAAAATGAAGCGATTCTGCGTGTGTCACAGAAAAAACAGGGTGACTGGTCCCATCATCTTCTCCTGGACTATTTGAATTACTTAACAATTTGCATGCATTATTTTCTGTTTTCTCTCACTGCAACACCCAGGCTGGAGTGCAGTGGCACGATCTTAGCTCACTGCAACCTTCACCGTCCAGGTTCAAGCAATCTCTTGTCTCAGCCTCCCGAGTGGCTGGGACTACAGGCACACGCCACCACACCTGGCTAATTTTTGTATTTTTAGTAAAGACGGGTTTCACTGTACTGGTCAGGCTGGTCTCAAACTCCTGACCTCAGGTGATCCACCTGCCTCAGCCTCCGAAAATGATGGGATTACAGCCGTGAGCCACCGCACCCAGCCATTTTATTTTTTGAAATCAATAGGTATTATTTGGAAGCTGAAACCATTGGCCACTTTTGTTTTCTGCTTTAGCTTTTTTAGGTATTTCTTTAAGGCACTAAGGTTTATAAGCTTAGCAAAAGCCCAAATGGACACCTCAGAAGAACAAATGAGTCTCTCATGTAGCTCCTTCTCCATACCTAAGCATGGCTGAATTCTCACCTTTCTCTAAATCTTTATAAAGAACTCCATAAGCCTCAGTCATCCCATACTCCAGCATCTCCAAAATCATGCACGCTGAAGCTTCTTGTTCTCTTTGCAGTTTTTTCAATTTGTGCTATTTGTCCTTACCAAGAAAGGATATGCTTTTCATCTTTCCCCAAGTCTTTCTCTCCCGCATTTAGGTATTCAAACACAATCCCCAGCAAACAAAAGCCAGTCTCCCTCTCTCCCAGAGGATGTGAGAAAGCTCTGTGCTGTTCACTGTGCTGGCAGCTACCTTCTGACCATGAGGGATGAGGTGGGGGGAGCGGACCCAGAGACAGCAGAGCTCATACTGCTGAGCCCATACTGCTGAGCCACCGACTTCACCAACCCCCAAACCCAACCTTACCCAAGACTTTCTACTAAGCAGAATGATAGGTTTATCACCTAAGATGGTTGAATTTGGTTTTCTGCAACTTACAGCCTACAACATCCTAAAACAATTATTTTACTTCCAAAAGGATTTGAGGCAGAGAACCACCAGCATCATATTTTCATTAAACACAATATTCTTAGGGCACCTAATGTGTGCCCAGCCTTGTCCTAGACACTAAGGATACAGCAGTGACCAAGCCAAAATGCTACTTTAACGTAGCTTAGTATAAAGGGAGGAATGCTGTAGACAGCATCACATCTGTTCAGTGGTGTTATTAACACAGAACACAAAAAAAATGAGAGGGCAAAGCATGTATGCATTCACGTCAAATCCTAGATATTTACATTAAAACTAGAGCTTCCTGCATCCATAATGTGAATTCTCAGCATATTTCATATGAAAAAAAAAAATGGCAACAGGCTAAAAATTACTACCAAAGTGCTGAGAGATACCTAGCCACAACAAATACAAAACCTGACGGAAACACAGCCATACAAGTTCACTGGTGGTTATATAAATATATAAATATAAAAATGTGGAATAACAGAAAGGAGTCTCCTGAATTTCTGTGGTGAATTTCTTTACATTTCTAATGGTTGTTTTTGTTTGCTTGTTTTGCTGTCGCCCAGGCTGGAGCCCAGTAATCTCAGCTCACTGCAGCCTCCATCTCCCGGATTCAAGTGATTCTCCTGCCTCAGCCTCCTGAGTAGCTGGGCTTACAGGTGTGCGCCACCACACCCAGCTAACTTTTCTACTTTTAGTAGAGACAGGATTTCACCTTGTTGGCCAGGCTGGTCTCAAACTCCTGACCTCAAGTAATCCACCAGCCTCGGCCTCCCAAAGTGCTGAGATTACAGGTGTGAAACACCGTGCCTAGCCTTCTAATCATTCTTGATATTAATTTAGCTACATTTGCTTTTTTTTTTTTTTGAGACAGAGTTTCACTCTGTCACCCAGGATGGAGTGCAGTGGCACCATCTATGCTCAATGCTACCTCCGCCTCCCAGATTCAAGTGATTCTAGTGCCTCAGCCTAAGTAGCTGGGATTACAGGCATCACCACACCCAGCTAACTTTTGTTATTTTTAATGGAGACAGGCTTTCACCATGTTGGCCACGGTGGTCTCAAACTACCAACCTCAAGTGATCTGCCTGCCATGGCCTCTCAAAGTGCTGGAATTACAAGTATGAGCCACTGCGCCCAGCCTGCTATCATTCTTAATGGTTAAAATGTCAGACCAGTATAACACCAAGATTAAGAACAGCTTCATTTATTCAAAGGCCCTTGAGAATCTGAGCCCAGGCCCAACAATCCTACATGCTGTAAGATCAACACTACCACCACTAGCATCTGTGAAGATAAAGAGTTAAAAGAGAGTTTTAGGTGAAACCTTAAGGACCCAGGGATATCCTGGTATCTCTGAATATTATGTACTAATTGTATGGGTCAACATCTGATTTATCAGATGATATGGTTTGGCTCTGTGTCCCCACCCAAAATCTCATGTTGAATTGTAACCCCCAGTGTTGGCAGAGGGGCCTGGTAGGAGGTGACTGGATCATGGGAGTGCCTATCCCCGATGCTGGTCTTGTGATAGAGTTCTCAGGAGAGCTCGTTGTCTGTTAAGTTCACTCTCCTACTGCCATATGAAGACATGCCTGCTTCCCCTTCACCTTCTGCTACGATTGTAAGTTTCCTGAGGCCTCCTCAGCCATGTCTCCTGTACAGTCTGCAGAACTCTTGAGTCAATTAAACCTCTTTTCTTCATAAATTACCCAGTCTCAGGTAGTTCTTTATAGGAGTGTGAGAACAGACTAACACACGAATATTGTGCCTATGTTTTCTTTGGTGTTTCCTTGAGGTGGACCTGGATTTCTCTTACTTTTCAGGTAGTTGAGTCTCAAAGAATGGCAACAAGGAGAAACTGAACAGCAGATTGGGAATCAGTTCAGGCCACTTGAGTAAAATTCAAAAAGAAAAAAGAAATGGAAATGTCTACATCTAGAGGCCAGTATAAAAATACCTTTGGTGTTCCTAAATAACTCGAAACTCTTAGAGAAAAGGGAAATCACATTACGAGACATAAAAGAAGTTAAATTGGAAATAGCAACAGAAACTCATGACTTTTTAAAAGCTCAATTCCTCTGCTGACTTAAGTAGCTTCTTATCGTGTGTCATACTATCTCTCCTCATTCTGTAGAACAATCTCATGCACCTCCCAGAGCCCAGATTTTTATCTCTAACACTAGTCTCCTCTAAAACAAGCCAGTACTCTTTGAAAATGAGCTACTTACAGTTTACAGACAGGATATGTCAAGAGGTACCTAAGATATCTTATTACCAAAAAGCACAGATGCTTTCAAGAGTGCCTTCAGAAAGCGTCAAGAAGCCACCCAGCTTAAGAAAGAGCATCTAACAGCCAAACTGTGACACAAGTGTCAAATTCAAAGGAAAAATTACAGCTCACTACAACCAACTAAGGCTGAAAAGCACCCTGGGTTTAAGATGATTGAAATGAGATATATTGCAGCAGAATGTATTAGAGAAAAGAC